GATACACTGCGTGAGAGGAAGTCATAAACTAACAGTTAGAGTAACAATGTCACGCAACGATTTCTCGAGCAGCTCCGACTTCTTTTACTGATTTTTTTCTCCTTATGAAATTTTATGGAAACTTTGTTTTGAACAGACAATGCGTTGTTCGCAACATCGTTGGTTTCTCAGTAGTCTATTTTCTCTTCAGAAAGAAGGGATACTAACTTTGCATGCCTGTCAGTCACGCACTAAAAGTTAGCATTTTCTTGTCAGAGATGTTGAAATCTGATTTTTTTTCTACGTATTACAAACAACAAACCGCCCCTTCGTTAATTTCTTTACTTTTTCACAAATAGAGGTATAATTAGGCAGCTACCAAAGGCCCTAGGAAACAGCTAAGTGATCGTAGTTCATACGGTCCAGCGGTTTCTCTCCTCCGAAACGAATCCGAAACATCTTTCCCGCAAAAGCTGCCTCTTTTAGGTCATCGCGGAGTTGTACCACCTGCCAAGGGGCGTTTTCCTTCAAATACAAAATGATATTTGTTGATTTCAAAATATAATGTAGCAGCGCCTTAGTGTGTAAATCTATGCGCGAAACCCATGAACCAAAACAAGTTCCAACCGACGCCGCGCCACCGAAGTACTGGAAAAGGAAGACTACAGTAGAACCTCCCGAAAGCGACCACCCAAAATGCGCAGACTTAGTGGTCGCTAACGGGAGGTGGTCTCTTACGAGAATCGAACCACAGGAGGTCTCTTTGAGAAGAAACTGGACACATCTACTTTAAGGAAGATAATTTATTGCATGCAATTTCCAAGTTACAATATGTGCAGTTCCATGTTGTTGTTGTTGTTCCTACCACAAGAGATCAGAAAACTCGTCAGGTGGTCGCTTACAAGAGGTTAAAAACAATGCAAAATCATTAAACATTCAGCCCCAATATAGTGGTCGCGGGCGCTTACAGGAGAGATTCCAACTGTAAGACTTAACTGGGTGGGTTTTGGTGTTTTGGATAGGTGGTGGCACATGAAGGTTGTACTCCAACAGAGTAAATCACCTTTCATGACGACTAGGATTTGTCCATGGAAGATAAGATTCCTTGTTCACTGCTTTTGAGCTTCATCTTGAAATGAGAAGTGTCAGAAAGGTCATCCTTGACGCCGCTGGCCTATTGCAGTATGCGGCAACGAACTTATATCGACGTAAGTACCATTTACTAACCGGACAGTAAGGCGACGCAGAGTAAAAGCGCAACTTGACTACGTTTTTCAGTTTACAACAGACCCGAGTTTTGTTTAAAGAAATACCTGCCTTTTGCTCAGGAGTATTAAGGAGTATTGTCCCAGCTCGTGCATTCACACCGGAACGTCCGATCGAATCACTGTTTAGTTGATAGCTACCCTTCTATTCCTCTTCCCGACTTATCTAGGAAGATCGAAGGGCCTCTGCTCGCAGGGTAGTTGATAGCGACCAAGGGGCTAAATAACATAGCAAGCTAAGTAAGTGGCATTGGCGGTTTTATTTACGCCCAACCGTTTCCCAAAGTAAAGAAGGAAAGAACTTCAGACAAAGGGAAAGAAGAGTTACGCGATAAAACTGCTCTTAAATTGATGTTTAGCTATGGCATATGCGAGGGGGCAGGGGCTATTTAATTGCTGAATAACATGTGCTGTTACCCAAAAAATTACGGAAAACATTTCTTCTTTGGTTTGGAATTCTGACCATGAAAATTTTAGCTCTAGCGATTTGTGATACCAGGCAAAAAAAATCCATTATTTAGATATTTCCCTCTTAGCAGCAGGCCCTCTAATTACAGTGTCCTTAAGTTTGGACGGTATCTAATATTATATATCCGCAGGAACGAAACATGACAACAGCTGGTTACAGATTGTCAATGTGTGAGGCGGGGGTTCTGGGCTCCCTGTGACAGTTCTTGTCAAGAAGACCCCAAATAAGTATATTTGCTGTTTTAGGTTGATTCTGTGCTAAAGTCATTACTTACTGCCTATACCCCCACAGGAATTTGGTCTATGGAATCATACGTGATGATTCATGTGATGATGTCATAGCACTCTACAAATCATAACAGATCATAGCTATGCTGCTAACTGAGCACATACAATCATGTGACAATCATAGGTATGATGCAATGTGTACACTTAGAATCATTTCTGGAATCATAACATGGTTTTATGAGTACACATAACAGCATTTCTGGAATCATAACATGATTTTATGTGTACACATAACAGCATCTCTAGAATCATAACATTATTTTATTTGTACACATAATATCATCTCTGGAATCATAACATGATTTTAGGTGTACACAAAGCATCATCTCTGGAATCATAACCTGATTTTATGTGTACACATAACATCATCATTGGAATCATAACCTGTTTTTACGTGTACACATAACATCATCAATGAAATCATAACCTGATTTTATGTGTACACACAACATCATCGCTGGAATCATAACATGATTTTATGTGTATACATAACATCATCTCTGGAATCATAACCTGATTTTATGTGTACACAAAACATCATCTCTGAAATCATAACCTGATTTTATGTGTACACATAACATCATCTCTGGAATCACAACCTGATTTTATGTGTAAACATAACATCATCTCTGGAATCATAACTTGATTTTGTGTGTATACATAACATCATCGCTGGAATCATAACCTGATTTTATGTGTGCCCATAACATCATCTTTGGAATCATAACCTGATTTTATGTGTACACATAACATCATCAATGAAATCATAAACTGATTTTATGTGTACACATAACATCATCTCTGGAATCATAACTTGAGTTTATGTGTATACAAAAAAAATCATCTCTGGAATTAGCAGCTGATTTCTAATAAACGTGGCAAATTCAAGAGACTTTTTAAAAGCATGAGCGGAGCGAGCCCGCAAAGCGATCAAACAAGCGTGGAAGTCGCCAGAGATCTGATCATTCGTCCCGCGACGCCAAATGCCCATTCTGCTGCTATAAAATCACTCTATTAATATGAGGAAGCGCTTATTCGAAAGTCTAGGAAGAAAGCCGATCATAAAGTAAGATACTGTGTGCTCTGATTTGCTGAGAGGTGTTTTTGCATGAGAAAGTACAGCCACGGTTGTGACGTCACGAGTTTTTGCAGTGCGTGCGCGCTGTACACGCAATTATATTATCAAAAAAATGTTTAGTTCTTGAATGTCAGCAAGTTTACATGTAAGTCCAGTATTTTCATCAAGCACAACTTTGAAATTCCTTCCCTGTATAGCGTCAATGATAAAAAAAAGAAAAGAAAAGAAAATTGCAGAATTAGCTCGAAATCCTGCGTTCCCACCGTCAAGTTTGCACGATGGAAGACTGGATGCAAGGCAACACAGCAAGTGACGCATGCATCATACTTGCGTGATGGCCAGAGAAGATTGTGTTGGATCGTGTTGGAGATTGTTGGAGTTATTTTATTCCCTTTGAGTTCTAGACTTACTGAAAGACTGATTTGAAAGGTAATGATTATCACTGTATTGCTATCATTACTTATCGTTTCTTTTCCCTGAGACTGTCTGAAGTTCGTTATGTCGGTCGTTTCGTTTCGCTGTAACGTTTGGTCGTGGTTTTTGAAACTGAATTCAGCTGAAGCATTATTGTAGCCTCCGTCTTCTATATATCACTGGTTTAGTGTCTTGATACGGAGTAAATTGAGCTTAATTGTGATGATTTGTAATTTTCATTACGAAAGAAAAAGAAGTGACTTCCAGTCATGTACGAAGCGTACGTACGTACACTTGCGTTCAAGTAAGCTTACGTTTTTGCAATTCTCTTTGCCGGTGTGGAACACTGCAAACGAATGACTGAGTAAAATTATTTAAAAGGTAGTCCATTTGGGTATACGTTGATTAGACAGGGTAGTCCATGAGCTGGGGATCAGTCCACCGTTTGTCCCTCATAATCTCATGACTTAAGTGATGTTGAATCAACAAACGTGACCATGTACTGTATTTGGTCCTTGGTCCGGCCGGTATTACTTTGTGATATAATTTTCGGGAAGAAATAAGTTTACAATACAAACGAAACTTTCCGAGTGTTTATTGATCTGTTTGCCTTCTTAAGCTTGGGAGGTTTTCCTGATATTAGCAAAGGCGAGTAAATTAAGTTAACCCGAACGTAGGTGAATTTTGTTCTGTTATTTTTGCTTTTTTATGGCGCCGTAAATTGCTTGGATATATTTTGAAGTCAGGCATATGCGATAAAGTGCGTTAAGAAAGATAATTTTTGTTGTACACGGCGTACAAGAAATGTTCTTTCTATGGCGTACCATGGGGGCCAAAATTCAAAATTGAGATTTGACATTGTACTTTCAGTATTCTTTCTTATTTTGCGATTGTACATTCAAGTTTTCATTCGCTATGAATCTATTTCCGATTCAATATTGTCATTTTGTAATTAAACTTTTTTAAACATTTTGTAACTAAGTTTCAAGTATTAAACATTATACTTCACGTAATTCAACATGCAATTTGCTTCTTTTCGATATCCAACCGCAACCCAATGTAATGAGGACATCGAGTCCTCAACAAACTAATTTCGCAATTCAACTTTGTAGTTGTGGCAATGCAATATTTTAAGCTTAGTTTTTCTATTGAACGTTTTGATATTCAACATGTTGTACTTCTTTGCCATCCAACCACCACCTTTCTCTTTTACGCTCAAAGCTCTCGCTATTCAACATTCAACTTTTTATCATCCAACCGCAATCCAGTCATTAACGAAGGAGCACAGGCTCACTAAACTCGCTCACCTGAACGAAACAGTCAAGTACCTCATGTAAGCCTCATGACCTTACCTGAAGTACCTCACTCTGGGATTAAAAATGGACGATATCTCATATTTGTTAGACTGTGTTCATAATATCCTCGACATTTTAAATAGAGTTCAAGGCGTACAAAATGGCCATGGAGATTTTCAGCTTCTTGTTTGTGAAGTAGATTTTCTGCAGAGGATGTTGGTAAATCTAGACATCGATGATTTCATAACAGAAACAATCGGAAGAGCTCATAGTTTGCTGGTAGAGATCGAAAGAACTGAGAATTCTTATGGAGTTTATAGCTCGAGCGTGCAACAAGATGGTAGATGTGGAAGGCCCTCGTACGTGAGAAGCAAGGGACAGCTCTCATATTTAATTGAACAAGGTTTTAAATTGCAAGAGATTGCTACTATGCTTGATGTAAGTTGCAGAACAGTTAAGAGAAGAATGATGTCATATGGACTCAGTGTGTCAGGTACATACTATTATTTATGATAAACGATGGCAATTACATTATACATGTATTTGTCTTCATATCAAGCGATTATTCCACAATAGCAGTGAAATCCCCTTTCTGTCCGGTGGTCTTTATAGGACCATGGATAATAAAGTGTTTTTTTAAATAATTATGATACTGATACTGGTATTGGCAAGATTTCCATATAACCCCATACATTTATTATGCATGCAGCAGTCTCGTACTCCTTCATACAACAAGTTTATAACAATATAGTTAAAACATGCATGCACAATAAATGAGTGGGGTTATACGGAAATCTTACTTATACTGTCTGATCATGCTAGGGACATACAGTACCATTGATGACAATCAGCCTGATGAACTTACTAGATAAGCATGTGATGAACATCCTGGAATAGGAATCAGGATTCTTAAAGGTTTTTTGCTGAGCAAAGGATTCCATGTCCAACGTGAAAGGATCCGTCTATCATTGTTGAGGATTGACCCCATTGGTATAGTGCAAAGGTGGAAATCAACTGTCAAAAGACGCCAGTACAACGTGAAACATCCGTTGTCATTGCGGCATATAAATGGCAACCATAAACTTATAAGGTGCCTATTATAGTTTATAGTGTTCAAATAGAATAAAAGATCATTGTTATAGTGTGGTATAAATTTTGACAAAAAGTGTAGGGCTTGTGCAGCATTCCAACTGTCAAAGACTATTTTGTTTCTGGGTTAAGAAAAAATTAACATAGCACAAACACAAACAAGAGTACACTCTAACATTTTGATCCAGGCTTGATAGAAAAAAATCCCTGTTCTAATCACCTTTTGCTTCTGGTTATTTGACAACGATAACAGTGATAATAATGATTAAATAATTAAAAAATGCCAAAAATTGCATTCACTATAACCCTACCATGAAAGTTGTAGCTTGTGTCCCTGTTACAAACTACTGTTTGCACAGAACCAACTTCTACATTTTCTTGTTTTGAAGGTGGAGAATAGTAGTACATGGTGGAATAGATGGCTATTCCAGAGTACCAGTTTACCTCAAAGCCTCAAGTAACAATAGAGCAGACACTGTTTTGGCTCTTTTTCGCGAGACAGTTGCAGAGTTTGGCCTGCCATCACGTGTGAGATCAGACAAGGGTGGTGAAAATGTTGATGTTTCGACATACATGCTAAGTCATGTTCAGCGAGGACCAGGAAGGGGTAGCATGTTAACAGGTACTTTCCCGTGGGGTTGTTTTTCTACCAAAGTATTTCTACTTTGATTTCATAAAATTAGGGTATAATAACAAGTACCTTTTTTATTCTGTTTGTGAACCTGTAGGTAAAAGTACTCACAATCAACGAATTGAGCGACTTTGGCGGGATGTATTTGCAGGATGTCTCTCCCTGTTTTATGACCTTTTTTATGACTTGGAAAGACAGAATATCTTACACCCAGACAATGAGGGCCATTTATGGTGTTTGCATTATGTTTTCTTGTCCATAATTAACAAACACCTGACTAACTGGAAAAATGCTTGGGTCTATCATCCAATGAGGACAGAGAGAAATAAGCCTCCTATGCAACTATGGATCAGAGGCTTGCAGGAAGCATGGGGGTCACAGTCCTTGGAAGATGAGGTTTTTCAGGTACTGTATGAAGCTAATAGACCTTTTTACCGATACGGCAGCTATATTGAATTAATTCGATTTTAGGATTATTATAGGATGCCCAGGGGGCATAAGCACATTTCGTTTGTATTTTCGAGCACTTTTCGGGACATTTTTTCTTAGAATAAGATTGTAATGGGAAAAAAGATCTTTGTGCAGTGTTTTGATGTAATAATGATCGCCGTTTTCCCGAGAAATGTACAGTGAAAGACCATATTTCTAATACTAAACTAGAAAAAGGCGATCACTATTACATCCAAACACGGCACAAGGATCTTTTTTCCCATTACAATCTTATTCTAAGAAAACTTTAAGAAAAAATGTCCTGAAAAGCACTCAAAAATACAAAGGAAATGTGCTTATGCCCCCAGGGCATCCTATAATACTCCTTAAATCGAGTTAATTCAATATGGCCGCCGTAGCGGTAAAAAGGTCTATTCTTGTACTAGCTCATATCTGGGGGGGGGGGGGTTGGGGATGACTCCCAGGTGAGTATGTTTGTCATAAAATTATTGCTTAGGGGCAAATATGAGCAATGTGGTATCTTTTTGTATGGTACAATTTCAGTTTATATTTTCAGAAATTCCTAATATCTTTAGCATATTGAAAAAACAAGAGTCTACTACTGCTTTTCAAGTTTTAGATTAGGCACTCCTTTATATCTTGTCCAACCACACCCTTTTTAGAAGACTTTGGTAACTGTTGGGGGTATTATTATTTGAAAATATCTGACAAGCATACCACATACGTTTACCTCC